ATAGTGATTTTTAAAATGTATAAAAAAAACCATTTCAAATTTTGCGCCTCGAATTGTTCCGAAATCAGCCGGCTGAGGTTGCTGAAGACATGCTAGAACTAGTCGATTACGCCCACACATTCATGAAACGCATTGCATCTGATGATTATTTACTTATGAGTTTGTTATTCAGGCTGGCTTGCTGTTTTCATTAAATGTAGTCATTCAACAAACCTTTGGAAAACCAATTCAAAATCAAAGAAAAATCAAGTTAATTAATATTGACTGGATATAATAATAATGGAGCTACGATACCAAGGCAGATGGGATCCGGTAATTATGAGAGTATACTGTTAGCGTAGCGTCAGAACGCTTTTATTTCACCTTACAATTTAAAATACACGAAATTTTTAGAAAAAAATCAAAATACATATACCCGGCATCAAGAAATCTATACGTGATGGAAAATTTTTGAACTTAAATTTGTAATCAGTACAACTCAGATACCTCCAGAGGACTCCTAGCACATCAGCCGTAAATTCTTGCTTGAGATTTGTTGCGTAGCTACGATAAAGTCTTCTTTGATTTGCATGAATATCTATATTAATTTTAGTTTCAATATATACTTTTAGATTTTTCTATGAAAAACATATTTTACAAACACTTCAGCAACTAATCCTTCACATAGCCTTGTAATTAGCAACTAGAGATTGCGATTTAATCCTCTGCGCCACAGATTAACCACAAACTATCTCCAAATCCATTTCAGACAAAAACGTTCATTAGTATGCTGGCAATGTTTAACTAAAAGAAGTTTTTTTTTTTATCTTTTGTGAGAGTAATAAAAACCTCTGCTACCTCGAGTGCTACACATACATACATAAATACATACAAATATATGCATACATGATTGCATTCATATAGTCACAAGCAGCTCCTACTTCCTTATCTGTTTGATGTGACCGTCGTTAAACTCCATAAAATTAATACTATTTACTTCCTTCTTCTCCACTTTACACGAATAAACTCCTAGCGAATTCTATGCACATTCTTGTATACTATGTCACACAAATCCCACAAACATATAGATGCATACACGTACGTATACATTTGTGTGTTCAAACATATGTTTAACTTCACTATCAACTAATATTTATTTACTTACCAAGCATTGTCTCGCCGACTATCCTCCCCCCCAACGTAGACCCAGCTCCTTAGGGCTAGCCGTGGTTGCCTTCATTTCGGCTGCATTGATTGCACTCTGCTTTGGCAGCGACTTTGCCATTGACATTGATAAATTATTCTGCAAGTGTTCATGCATAAATCACAAGAGGATTGCTTGCCTTAACTACCGAGAGAGACCAGTGCCAGCTGGAGCCTAAGTTCGCTATCAGCTCAGCCCGTCACTGAGCAACGCGCCAGAGGTGGCGTTAGACAGTTGGTGTTGGTGTTGCCATTTGTGGCGTTTAGCGCACGTCAGTATCACTGAGCTTTCGTACATGAGCGTAAACTTAGTGTGAGTATTTAGTATGGTCTTCAGCTTTTCTGGATTTTTTTTCTTTATTAATTTCTCTCCTTTCACACATCCCATATTTTTTTTTTTTATTTTCTCTTCTAGTGTTTGTATTTGCCGGTTGTGGCATTTATTGGCATTAGCTGCCACTGCTAATTGACAATGAATTGAACAGGAATTCTCCTTTCTACACCTAACAATAACTCCTAAAAGCCTTTATACTTAGCCGATCATTCGTAAGGATATCAATATTTTTGTATTCTCCTCAGATACATATATTTGATGTACTTTATCAACAGTACACATTTTTATCAAGTTTGTTTTTCTAATTTTTGCGTGTAGTGTAAAATCGTACGAAGGTAATTTGCTACATATAGATTTAATCAGCAAGATTGAATGATGAGAAATAATTCGAATGGTTCTAAATGTTAAAAAAATTAAGTTATGAGTTTCTGCTGAGGACCCCTTTAAACATTTGCCTACACAATAGATAACTATAATTTGGAAAAGGTTCACCGTTTCATTGACCTGTTAACACTGAAACTTAAACCTAACTTCAACGCCTACATTAAAATGACAGTTAACAAAGCTAAACTCTCATTTTTAAAACGGCGGCCGAAAATTCAAAGATCCTTATGTTCCCAAAGCGTTGTTCACAATATTGGTAAGGCCTATGCTGGAATCTGGCTTGATAATTTGTAACCATAGCTATCAAATTTATTCGGACAGAATGGAAATTATTCAAAAATAATTTCTCCTTTTTCTACCAGAAATTTGCTTTGTGTCTTCCTCATTCGTGTCAGTCGTAGCGAACTACTTGATGTGATTTTCATGCTTCAATTTAATATGCTGTTGATAACGTCTATATATAATATAATATATTTGCCCCTGTTTGTGTAAGAAATAAAATAATTTCACGAACACTTGTCTTCTTTGAGTTCTTGTTGTTTCGACACTAATTCTAGAACAATGGCATATGTGACTCGATCTTTTATATCGAAAAAACAATTTTCTCAGCTCTCAACTAGTTATTATATATGTATAATTGACGCTTTGTAACCGCTGTAGCGATTTTCGGACGAGCTTAAGCCTTAAGCCTTAACAAATCCTGGCTCAACGGTGTTAATGAAAAATAAGGAAAGGACTCCGTACGTCATACAAACTGAGCTCTACGTACGATGACCAGTGGCCACCATTTCGCAATAATAATAATAATAATAACATCCTTCAAAATCTCAAGATTCATAAAGATCTTGATTTAATTTAATATTTTAATATAATTTGTATTAATTTATTATTGAATTTATGAAAACATATTCGATTTATTCGTTAAACATAACCAGACAACGAGAACTACTACTGTCAGCAAAAAGTAAGGTGAATTTGTTTGTAAAAGTAATAATCTTTATTTGTTCTTCTACATCGATTTCGTCGCCTTCAAAATAGTTCCCTGCGGATGCAATGCACTTCTGCCAACGCTTCTAGTATGGCCTTTAGAGAGCGCGCCGATTCACGCTTAATCTCCTCAATCGACTCAAAACGGTATCCCCTAAGTGGTCTCTTGAGTTTTTGGAACAGCCAGAATTCACATGCTGCTAAGTCCGAGGAATACGGTGGTTGGGGAACGAGATTCGTGGCATTTTTAGCGAAATGGCCTCGAAGAATGAGTGCTGTGTGAGACGGTGTATTATCGTGATGCAAAAACCAATAATTTTTGGCCCATAATTCTGGTCATTCTCTGCGAATTGCTTCACGCAAACGACGTTTGCCAGGGCGAAAGGAATTCATAGTGCACCACACCACGAAAATCGAAGAAAACAGTTAACATGACCTGGAATTTCGACGTTGATGATCGTCCCGAGCGCACCAAGTCATCAACACGTTTCCGACCTTCTTTGAAGTCTTTGTACCACTTATACACGCTCTTCTGCGACATAGATGAGACCCCAAAGGCTTTCTGTAGCATCCTCAACGTTTCAGTAGCCGAAAATTCGTCCCGAAAACAAAATTTGATCGCACTTCGTTCAAAAATAAAAGGAATTTTGCTTTAGATTTCGAAACTTAAATTTTGTTGTTTTCTGCTGCTGGTTTCTAGGTAGGTGGACTACTCCGAAGTTTTAACCCTTAAGAATGATGTGTTGATTGTTTGACGATAGGAGCTATTTCGCATGGGTTTTGTAGGTATACCAACGGCTTTCAGACGACTTCAAAACCGACGAAGAAGTGGAGAGCCTTACATGTATGATATAGATCGCTTTGTGGTTCTTCAGACGTGCCATTGGATAGGACATCTGTTCCAACGCCAATAATTGGGGATATGGATACACCATTTTCGGTCTATATTCTAATAAATATCACTTTTTTACAGAAACACGTAGTTATTAGAGGTTTTAAGGATACTCAGTTAGAGTTTTTCTTCATTGGTTACTTACAAGTTTTGTCTTCAGATATCCGTAACTAGTCCACCTTTTAAGTATCCATCTCGACAAAATTTTAATTTTAAAAGTAATTTATTTTTATTTATGTTGAATATGGTTCGATTAAAAATTTGTTAAGAATATGAAACGAGTTTTTGGATGAAGAAGTCAAGGTCTTTGTACGTTTTTTTTTATCTAAACTTATCTTGGCTATCTAGAGATACCAAATTAGCTACGTTAACTTATGGCTACTCTCAGTTATGTCAAGCTTGTAAAATCTAAGTAAAATTTCTAAAATATTTCTTATGAGTTTTCGCCAGATTAAGCATTTCACTTTTGATATGGATACCCGTTCATAGCTCAACCGCTAAAATGTTCGTTTTAAAATTTCGAGCCTTTACACAATTTCAGCAACAGGATGAAAATTTCAAAATTTTTTTAGCGTTTCGTCGAGTTCACTTTGTTCCAAGACTGGAACTGCTGGCAAATTTTCCAACTATCTCCAAATTCGATAGAGTACAAAGTGGAGCTGATGGTAACTTAGGCTATGAATGCTCTCTTAGATTTACTTCCACATCAGATTTCAAAGTAGTATTCCGGGATCGAAACCTTTGGGACAGGATAATACCATCAAGCACCGACTTGATTCATTTTCATGCGGACCGGTCAAAACCAGGCAACAGGCTCTTAGAATCTATAAATCCTTTCGTTTACCCTATCAGTGTAGTGTTTTTCTGCTGGATTCTGCTGGACGGCGATGCTCGACTAAGCGGCTGAATCGATTTCGAGTACAATACTTTTTGACCTTCGGCTAAATTATTGAAGGATTTTGTAAATAGAAAAAAAATTCTAATCAAATTTACAGCGAGTAAAATTATGTGTTTATTTTATTTTATTTTTTATTTTTTGAGATTTATATAGCTCAAGAGAATATACTGGAAATCATTGCATACACTATATGTATTGTATATGTATATATAAGGAAATAACAATTTCATGTTTAAAAAATCTGGATCGATCAGATAAATTTCAAATCTTTTGTTTTTGTTTTCACTTTCCAATTTTTTTTAAATCATAATTCTTGATTACAGGTGATTTTCTATGATTCTGACTGGAATCCGACTGTCGATCAACAGGCTATGGATCGTGCGCATCGTCTCGGGCAGACCAAACAGGTTACGGTTTACCGGCTCATCTGTAAGGGCACCATTGAAGAACGGATCTTGCAGCGCGCACGTGAGAAGAGTGAGGTAAGTTATATATATACGTTTTTTTTTTGTTCCCTCGTCAAGTATCGGTTGGTACGATCAACTTGCCACTTAGTAAAATGTTGTTTGCTTATTTCTCTTTTTGTAACCGCAAAACGTTTCAAGTTGCTAACCTACGAAAAGAATTAAAATTCACTTAAAAGACGAACTTATTTAATCATTGTTGAATCAAATACACACATGCCTACAAACAACCAAATATAATCGGAGCGTTCCGATGCGGGAAGTGCGCGCCCGCATTCATTGTCTTGCGTGGCACGTGCGTTTCAGCGTGTCGCCAATAGCCCCTTCTGCCGCTGTGTGCGTGTTGTGCTTGTAGTTTTGTAGCACATACACGTATGTGTGTTTAGATTTTTGTTGCATGCTACAACTCACGATCACTTGCACGATCGGTACATGGTAAATGATCTGCTTTTCTTTCATAAAATGTTGTCGCTTTATTTTCTTGTTTGCGGTCGGTTGTTTTTTTTATTTGTTCTTTTTACAGACACTCTTGTTGTTGTCTTTCATAGTGTAGTTTTGTTTTTCAGTTTCCCGCACCGGAAACTAATTATTCAATTTAAATGTTGTCGAAGGCGATACCACTGTTACGCCTTTTGCCATTAGGAGCCTACAGTTTCAGTTTTACTTTTCCAAATTAGGAGTTGCTCATTTTTTATGGAAATTATACGTTTCAATAAGGGGGAGGGTAAATTTTTCTGTTGAACATACATACAGAGATATATCTAAAGGGGACTTAGTTTCGAATATCCATTTTGAAACTCAATCAAAGAAAGAATTTGATATTTTTTCTATCATACATAAATGCACCAGCATGCTTTGAAACCTATAGTTTTCAATCCAGCTAAACCAAAAAAAAAAAAACATCTAGAAACTCTGAAAAATACTTAGAAAATGCATTTGTATTCACATTTATTTATTTTCAGATCCAACGCATGGTTATAAGTGGTGGAAATTTCAAACCAGATACTCTCAAACCGAAAGAAGTGGTTTCGTTGCTGCTGGATGATGAGGAAATCGAACTGAAGTGTAAGTAAAATTACATCCACATGAAGTATATACCTCTATATATATATATATATATAACTGTTTTCTCTTGAAATAATCGACTGAAAAATCGTTAATTAGGGACTCAGAAGAGAGCCGTAAGAAAACCCCTGTGGGGTAGGAACTCAAGAACTTTCTCGCGGTAAGGCATGTCACACGTTAAAGGTGACTCAAATCCAAAAGTTCTCGCGACAATCAGGTCTTTACACCTAAAAGATTTGGATTTTTTCTGGCCTTGGAGTAGCACTTCCGCAACATTACCCATAAACTACTTTGTGGAGTATTTTTCAGCCGTGGAATGGATATTTGTTAGATCCATAATTAAATTCACAGCCAATGCGGATAACAGAGTGGTGTTAAGTTATTTACCTACACCTTAAAGCGATGAGATGATGAAGATTCCGTGCTATAAAAACATGAATTGAAAGTGGACATTCCTTTAATTAAGCATAACAGTGCAATATCTTCTTCTTGTTTACTTGTGTAGACACCGCGTAATATATTTATTAGAGTTAAATTGACATTACCTCGTCTTTTACCATTTTCAATTTGCCAATTATGTTAATATTTCGTCAAAGCAACTTAATCTCTTCCTTATCGTGAATGAAATGACTGTAATTTACTTTAAATTGCCACATAGAAATTGAATTGAGTCTGTTGCTGGTTTTATTATATCTTATCATCTCTTTTTCTTTTTTCAGATCGCCAAAAAGTTGATCCCGATGCGCCATCTACAAGCCAAAATAGAGATGTTGTTGGTGCAAGTAACGATCGAAAGCGTCAGCGTAATCCAAATAAGGTGCGTAATAACAATCTCTTATTTCATACACAGATATTTACATACATATATATAATGTAGATACATTCATGCAAACATATACATATGTACATACATATGACTTTATAGTGTAGTGTGTGTATTTAAATTAAATTAAGCCCACATACAGTAGCTATCGGAAAATCAACTTAAACTCCTTAAAAATTACAATCAAATGTATGTATGCAAGTATGTATTTATGTGTGTATGTATGCAAGTATAGCATAGTTAGTTATAAATTTCGCTTCAGCACTCATGCACTAGCCACTTGCTGCGATCGCTGCACTCTGATAATGTTAATAGCATTAAAGCGAGGAAAATAGTGTGGCGCATGCGCATCAAATGCCATCGGAAGAGTGCATTACAAAAGCAATGTACTTGCAATGTCATAATGCCACTTAAGTAGCGTTGGGCTGTCGGTGGTCTAATGCGCTATCTCTTGGCTTGTGCTGTGCTAAAGAGTTGGTTAGAAATTATTATTTGTACTTTTCTTTTCTGTCTTCTTATTTTTTTTTGTTCGTTGTGTTTGGTTACTCAACTTAATTCAAGTGCAATTTACTTGAAAACTTTTTATTCCACTGCTACGAATGGACTTCTTTCTACCTTTTATTATTGTTATTATTATTGTGTTTCCATTCTATTTCAATCTAGATTTTTTTCACTTAAGTCTTTCAATGAAAACAAGCTTTTCTACTACGTGCAGCTCTTTAGGTGGTTCTATCGTGTTTTACTCTTTCATTTACTACCTTTTTCTTTTTAAGCGCTATTTTTACCCCTTTCGCATTCAATGTCAGGCGTCATGGTCACGTGATTTGCAAAAAGTGTAAAGTAAATACACAGAAGATGATCGCATAAAAACGATTTAATATATGGAGCATTGTAATATGCGTAGACCACTCCAACAGCTATGGATTTCTTATATATGAAAACCTAGTTTCCGTTTGTAAAGATCCGGTTTCCTTCGAAAGTTACCGAACGATGGGTAAATACGAAAAGAACTTGTCGGCAAGACTACTCTTCTTACCTGAAAGTGTACCAGGGATTGACCTATTCGAACGAATCGTATTCATGGTCCGATTTACTTGCATTTCGGTACTTAGTTGTAGTGTTGGTGTTAATGGTTCTTTTTGTTCGAGAAGTGGAGCTAAGAAAGTACGTCGAAGGAAATTTTTAAAGAGATGCCATCGGCTCTTCAGGATCTTACCATTCCATATACGATGGTAAAAAATTGGGCTCGGCTGCTTCGACAAGGAAGAGAGACCAGTGAAGATGATCCCCGCCCGGGGCACCCACGACCGAAGAAAATGTTCAGAAAGTCAAAAAATTAGTATTGGCTAATCGAAGAATTAAATTGTGGTAGATAGCAGAAGGAGTACGGATTAGCAAAGAACGCGTTGGAGAATATATGAATTTTAAAAATTAGTACTCTTTGGTTACCACGACTGCTCGCGTCGCTCGACAAGCAGTGGCGATTGGAGTATTTTGAAGATTTTTTTGGAGTTGTGGCCACAATATTCTGGATGAACGGTTGACGAAACTTGAATTCGTCAGTGTGATCCCGAGTCCAAACACGATGCAGTGGAAACAATATGAGAAAGGCCACCAAAAAAATTCAAAGTGGAAAATACGACGTCGAATGAACGGCCAGTATTACCATGATTTGGTGGGTCAGGCGCGTGAGACAGTCGTACAGAAGAGACGTGGGTAACCCCTGCGGGCTATGAGCTGAAGAATTTACCCGCGGTATGGTATGCCTGTCGTAAGAGGTGACTAAATTCCAATAGTTCCCGCGACAGTCGGGTCTTTATACCGGAACGACGCAGATTTTTATCTGGCCAAGGACTGTCACTACCGCAACATTCCCCAAAAAGTACTTTGGGGAATTATTTTGCGGTTACAACAACAATAACAACAGAGACGTGGGAGTCTAGCGTGTAGAGTGCTGCAGTCCGTATTTGGCTCCTAGTGACTATTTCATTTTTTTTATTTTTTTATTTATATTATTAAATATTATTTTACTTAATATTATTGATTTTAATTTAATTTTAATTTTAATTCAATTTTAATTTTAATTTAATTTCATTTTAATTTTAATTTTAATTTTAATTATAATTTTAATTTTAATTTTAATTTTAATTTTAATTTTAATTTTAATTTTAATTTTAATTTTAATTTTAATTTTAATTTTAATTTTAATTTTAATTTATTTTTATTTATTTATTTTATTTATTTAATTTTTTTTAATTTATTTTTATTTATTAATTTTTTTTTTTAATTTATACTTATTTTTTTTTTTAAATTATTTCATTTAAGAAAATAAAAATAATTTCTCAGTAATTAACTCTTTCAATTTTTGTTTTTTCTTTCATCTCAATGACTTCAAAACCTGTTTCTAATTCTTGTAAGCCAATTGATTTACCCCTACTCCGTTTGGGCAGGCAAATAGTTTGCTATCTCTTTTGTGACCATTTGTTTTTTTTTTTTTGAAATTCTTTCTTCAAGATCTTTACTATTTTTCCATAAAGTTTCTTATTCTTGTATGTTCTGTTTTACACATCCGTTTCGGTAGATGATTTTGTGCCTTCAATGGAACACTGATTATAATATATACTTACTTACAGTGCTTTAACTGACAATGACTCTTTAGTTTTTATAACGAACAAAGTCAAGTTGGGGTAGCCTATAACGAAAGTCTGTCATTGTGCTATATTCGTAGAATATACATATGTATGTAAATACGTAAATACGCAGCAAGAAACATAAATTTCCGTTGATACACATAAAATGTAGGAACACAAAACCATGAATGAGCGTAAGGCCTATGTATGAATATGCAGATGCATAAAGAACCGTATAGGAACTAAAACTGACATCATGTGTCAAGCATTATCTTCAATTCTATCGACATGAATTAACAAAGTATTTCAAAGTAAATTATATTCTCAAATGTAATAGATTATGAAACCTAATTTCCTACAGGGCATCTTTTAACCGATTCTCGATTGAAATGCACCGGTAAATAGTTCGTACCACTAGCGGAAATGAAAAATAAATATATTTATTATCATCTAGTTATTTAAATTTGAAAATTTTCTACGCCCTTCATGATCATAAATGCAAAAAAATTTCGTAGATTTTCGGTCTCACATCAGCATTACATATATCGACTACTTTTTGGGAGTTTAATTTCAAAGGAATGTTTCGAACACTTAAGCGCCGAAACCTATTGTTTTCACATTTTGGTCTACGCTTTCCCATAATAATTTGGAGGGATGCCCTACGTTGGAAGTTGGTGCACTTCTTCAGACAACACTTGAAGGCGTCTAAAGCACTGTGACTCATCTGGGTTCTGGTGATGTTCACTTCATTTGCCCTAATTGACTGAGTAATGACTAATATCAGGCAGTACTATGCAATAAGCGGCCGCGGTAGCCGAGTTGTTAGCATTGCGTACTGCTATTCGGGAAGCGCTGGTTTAAATCCTGGTACGACCAACATCCAAAATTCATAGAAAATGAATTTAATTAAAAAATTAAGATACATTTTCTAATTGCGGACACCCCTCGGCAGGGAATCTCAACCCCTCCGAATCTATTTCTGACATGAACATCTCTTAACCATAATAATCGTATTATAACTGTTATCCATTAAGCTGCCAAAGTAATAAATATTTTAGATTTAACCTCAAAAATCAATAATTAATGGAATATAGAGAATGCAGTTATTTAATGTTAATGTATAGTTATGTTTCTTATAGAGTTTTTTTATTTTATTTTTTTTTATTGAGCACGTTGGTTTCTCTTAAAATTTAGACAAAAGCAGTTATAAAGATGGAATTGTGGGCTTTATAAAGGTGCTTTACTGTTAGAATATTTTCCACTTCTTGAAGATCAAAATGCTCGAGTATGTTTGTCATATAGAAGTAATGATTGCACCTACATTTGTTTTTGTAAAATATTATTTTATGCAAATCATTCAGGTTTCGTTTGTTTTGCAATTCTCTACTTAATTCTTCGACATTCCTTGAGCTTTGCCACGTGAAAAACATTCATTTCAGATTGCAAATTGGTGGAAAGCACTTCTATAATTTCAATTTTACTTAATTTGATTAGTGTATATGAGTCAGCCGCAGAAGCCGAGTGATTAGCAGTGTGTACCACCATTCGAAAGGCCCGAGTATTGAGCCTTGGTCCGACTTCCATACATACAAAATTATATTGGGTTGCCCCTAAAGAAATCGGCGGTTCTTCCTACACACGGTGCTGAGGTGCTGACATTTTCTTTGAACAGCTTGTGTCTATTTAACGGTATTTTTTTCTTTTGAAAGTTATAAACTATCACTTTTAGCTTGCTTGGGAAAAAATTACCCGTAATTTTGTTTATATTGGTTTGTTTGGCGTCAATTTTAATATGGAGCCCACAAAAGAACATTTTCGTCATATTTTACTTTATTATTTTCTTAAAGGAAAAATGCAGCGCAGTTTGCTAAAAAGTTGCATAGTTTATATGGTGAAAGGGTCTTAAAAGACACTCAAAAATAAGAAGTCACATTCAGGGCGGCCAAGTGAAGTTGATGATGACGACATCAATCATCGAATCGGATCGTCATGTAACTGAGCGTGAGATTAGAGAGAAGTTAAGTATACCAAAATGAACCGTTCAAAATCCTATACGACGTCTTGGACTGGTAGAAAGAGTTGATATTTGGGTACCACTTGAATTGAAAGAAACTCATTTAATAAGCCGCCTCAACGCTTGGGATATGCAACTTAAACGCAATGAATTGAACCGTTTCTGAAGCAAATCATAGCTGGAGTTGAAAAATGGATCGTCTACAATAACGTTAATTAAAAACGATCGTGGTACAAGCAGGATGAAGCGCCGCAAACCACTTCAAAGGCTAATATTCATCAAACAAAATTATGCTGTCAGTTTGGTGGAAGTGCAAAGATGTGATATATTTGGAGCGGATTCCAAGAAACCAAACGATTAATTCAGATGTCTACTGTGAGCGACTGGACAAATTGAAAACATCCATTAACGAGAAGCGGCCGGAATTGGTCAATCGTAAAGGTGTCATATTCAACTAGGACAATGCTAGGTCGCATACATCTTTGGTCACTCGCCAAAAACTGAGAGAGCTTGGCTGGGAACTGTTGATGCATCCACCATATAGCCCTGACCTTGCACCATCAGACGACCATTTATTTCGCTCTGTGCAGAAGCTATTAAATGGTTAAACTGTCGAAAATGACGAGACTATTAGATCGCAATTGGCTCAGTTTTTTGCAGATAAAGACCAGAAGTTCCATGAGCGTGAAATAATGATGTTGTCGGAAAGATGGCGAAAGGTCATCCAACGAAATGGAAATTACATAAGTGATTAAAATTCATTATAAATTTAGACAAAAATGTATTGACTTTCTTTTTGAAAATCACTGGGTACTTCTGGAGTAGCCCAAAATGTCTTTATATTTGTATAAATAGCAATAAAATATCTGAAACAAAATCGGAAAAAATTCACAATAGTAATTTTATTTCAATTATTTCCCCCACGATTATAAAGAATTAATTTGCAATTGTTTATTTTTATTCAAAAATTTCCTTCGTTTTTTTTTTGGTTTTTTTTTATAGCAATCATCGTCGACCGCACAACCAGGTGGTATCACCATACCAGCAGTGGGTAGCAGCGGCGCTGGTGGGGATGATGGCAATTCCACCATGAGCGGCTCACCGGCCTTTAAGCGAGCAAAACTGGAAGCGGCTGCCACAAATGATGATGACTCTATCGATGTGGCTGCCACATCGGGCACATCGAGTCCGAGTACCAGTGCAGCGACGGCGACAGGCGGCAATTTGGAACCATTTGTACCCGGCGCCACCACCGTTTCGCACAACGACGACTCCGATAATGAGGCACTGATTGTGGACTGTGAGAGTCCGTCGTTGCATGGTGCCGAATCGCCTAGTGAGTACCAGAACAAATTTTTTTTGCTTTTACTGAAATTCCACAAATTTTACAAGAATTTACAGCAGCCATTAAAATGCAAAAGCAAAAGACAAAAAAAAGAAAAAAAAAAAAACAATAATCCTATAGTTGACGATTTTTGCATTGCATTCAGTTTACATATATATATATATATAATCACATATATATTTATTTTATATTGCTAACCCACCGTTTGGCGATTGTCTCTTGATTTGCACAAGAATGTCATCAGCCTGTGGCAAGTTTTCCTGCCATTTCGCTTTTTTTTTTTTGTTGTATTCTTTGTTGCTTGGCTACTCTACTACCTGTTTTGCTGCAGGCGTACATTTATTGTGCATGCTTGCAACAAGCGCCTTGTGTTGTGGTGGCAACATAAAAAATTAAAATATATTTATTCAATGCTTATAAGATTTATTTCAGTTAGTAGGTCTGTGGGTTGCCACCGCAATCTGCTACTTACACACACACACACATACACATACATACATATATGTATTCTACAATTATTGTAGTTCTTTTATTGCTATTGTTTATTCTTGTTGTTGCTTGCCACATTTTCTATCGAAATGGTACATCATAAAAAATGTGTGTAAGGTTTTAGCTGCGAGTTGCGGACGCTGGTCACTGCCGCGCGCTGACCGGTGTGTGCGTGTGGCAAAGTGACCAGAAAAAGAAAAATCTTTTGCACTTGTATATTCTTTGATTTTATTATTTGTTTCAAACACATATGTTGTTGCTGCAGGTTTCTATAAATATAAATGCAATAACTAGGGCTCCTTATCACTATAAAATATGGGTGTTCAAAAGCCAGATCGAGAAGTTAGGGATTGCATAAGAGCCTACATATATTTTATTAAAATAGTTAATAAAAATCCTTGGCAAAAAAAAAAAAAAAATTAATAGATATATTTCAGTTGGTAGGATTGCTGGTAGGGGGGTTGTAGTTTCTTATTTCCGAAATTATTCTTTTGTATGACATCCACAAAGTACAGAATTTTTGTAGATTTTAAAAATATATCCAAACGCAAATGTAACCTATTTTTCGACATAGTCTCTCCATTCCTTTCTATGCAGGTGATGAAGCAGGGCATATATTTTTAGTTGCCTTCCTAAAAGTAGTTTCCCGCCAACCTCTTTATTCTTCACTTCTTATGGACAGTTTCCGTTGTCCAAAGAGGTTTTCTGATTGTTTGGAGTCAAAAAAATATGCGGTAACATCACAGAAAGTTTAACCACAGTCAATCTCCGAACGTCTCGGAGCGTATTTTCGATTGTTTGAGGCATTTCGTCGGTCGCAATCGGAGCTCTTTCGATCCAACATGCTTAGACGTACGACCGTTTTTACACACGCGACATCACTAGTACACACTGGCTTGATTCATGGCTTTATGACCATATGCAGTTTTCACCTCATTATAACTCTCAAGCGGCGGTTTTACCTTCCAAACAAGGAAACGGTTGAGTCTAGCTGACCTACCATAATATAACGAAAATAGAATTCCTCCGGCCACGAGCGCCTCACTAAGTCCCCTTTGGCCGAACTAGCCATTACGCACTCCTCCCAGTCGTACACAAGTCATCGACGTTGCTCGCAGCAGCGAAATGTTGCCAGTTTTCATATATTTTGAAAACAAAAAGGCTGTGCATTTTTTAAGTTCATTTAACATTCGTACATTAAACTCAATACTGGCAACATTGTAAAACAGCGAGCAATCAGCTGAGTCAGTAACGGCATCGGCAAGCGGTGGTTACTTTTCATTTACATGGCGCTCTCATAAGAGCTAAGAGAGCTGAGTCGTGTTTTCCGGTAATTGCCGCATTACTATCTGGATTTGGCTCGTAGTTTGTGGTTACTCCTGAAAAGATAGCTGTTGGAAGGCATAAAATGACTAATGAATCAGAAGGTTTGCTTTATATTATTTTTTTTCGCATATTATTAACCTAAAACTGTGCTGATTCCCGACAAACTAGAAATCCCGTCTGTGCCCTAACCTAAAAATGTTTTCAATGAATATGTTTCCAATATTTCCAAAGCCAACCACATTCTTTCTGACATTATTATGTATTTAACGAAGGACTTCTAGAGATTTTGATAGGTTATAGGAGCTCAAAATTACTTACTATAAATTCTTACACATTTCTAAGGCATTTTTTGAGACCGTTATCCAGTTAATGAAAAAATTTTTACTATCCGGCATTTAGTCTTTTATTTTTATTTATATATAATATAATATTTATTATTATGAATTTTTTAAGAGTGCAGGAAATAGCGTTTAACTTTGATCTATACGAGTTTCCACTTTTTTTTAATTATTTAACAGTGAAAATGAAAGTGCATTCAGAAATCATAAAATTTGATGAATATTTTGCGATTTTTTAAATCGAATAAAATATTCGAATTTTTCATCCATTTTAATTCGAGTGAAGCGAAATTAATTTTTTTCTCAAATGCGTAAGGAAATTTCAAAATAAAAAAAAAATTTTATAAAAAATTATAGAACATTTTAATTGGCAACTTTACCCATAAAACATTTCAAATGAAGATTTTTATCATAAAAAATTTAAAATTAGTGAAAATTATTGTATTTGTTATTAGTCAAAGAGCCTTTATGAAAGATGGTCACTTCAGAAACGATTTCCATTTGAAGGTACTTACATACAAACATACATACATACATATACGTATATGGTATTTTAATTCAATTACATACTGGTTCCCAATGTTTTGTTGCATCTGTTGCAACAGTTTTATTTTCTTTTACATAAATGAATATATATATGTATGAATGAGAATGTGTAAAAAATATTTGTTTAGCGCATAAAATTGATTTCTCAATTGCAATAAAAAAAATCGTTAAACAAAATCTGTCTCACAACACACAACATACAATACAAATCTGATGATGGCCATTTGTTGCAACCTATATACATACATATGAGTGTACATTTCTGTCTGTCTGTCAATGTACCTGTCACAAGTAACAACAACAATTCGCAAAGCAACCGCACTGATGCCATTAATGTGGCAATAACGTTGCTCCCAAAAATCGCTGAGCTAAACAGACATGCATACGTATTTAAATATGCTTGACAATTAACAACAACAACATCAGATTATGATGATTGCATTGAACATTTTACATACGACAAGGACCAGTACAACAATATTCATATTGCGAATGGCACATCTGCATATTTTTTTTTTTGTCTGCTGGTGTGTTATTTAAGGCCAAGCCAAGCCATTCGAAAGTGCCACAGCGAATAAATTTGATTTACAACAACAACAACAAGCTAATTTTTGTGCCCACATTTTACTGATAATGCCGTCAATTTTTTTTATTATGTAAATTTTACAACAAAAACAAATAATAATAATAATTGTCCCATTTTGTTGTTGTTTTTTTTACGGTAATATCGTCATCAATGAACACTCTGCGCTAAACAATCTTATATTTCTCTATCCTTTTTTCTACCGAAACAGTACGAGTGTCGGATCATCTTTATCTATGTGTGTCACATGCAACCTGGTTTCATTACTTCGCCGTTGGGTTGGTTTACTACTCGGCACTTGTTTGTATGTTTATTGTCAACATTTAATGGCGCAGACAAATGTTTGAATTTCTCTTTATTGCATTTGAATATTTGCATTACAAATTGCATTTAACATAAATTTATGGTAGTTTAAGCCATGATACAGCAAACGAGGTGTAGTTTCACTCAAAATTTTTTTCGAAAATATCATCAATCTGACATAAAAAGATTTTTCGACTTTTGCTTTAGTTTTGTGATACCAATTTCAGTTTTTAAAAAATTTATTTTCAACTTTCTAAAATTAAAAATAAATATAATATATATATAAATATAAAAAAGAATTCAAAAACTTTTAATGTATACAAAAAGAATAAAGAAAATGGAAACGAACTCACAAGAAACTCAAAGGCTTTGCAATGTATTTTCTTAAATTTAATGGAAATAAAATTATTTTTAACCGCCTATACCATTTTTTTTTAATATAAAAAATAGAACTACCTCCCTTTTTGCAAGTCTTTTTTAAACATTGACAATTTAAATAAAAAAACACGAAACTCAGTGGAAGAAATAAGGCACAGTTCAATTAACGACCGGCCGCTATAAAATTTGCATTTAAAATTCTTATAGAAAATTACGAATAAATAGTTGTCAAAATCATTGAAATTCGTCCACATACCGGATAATAATACAGCCTTGGCCAAAAGTATTAGGCACCCCACTAATTATTGAATTTTTTGTTTTAACAAGTGAATTAATGAAGTTTTATTAGTAAAACAGTGAAAATACCATGAATTAGTGAAAATAAATTTAATATTTAGTAAGTCCACCTTTCGATTTAATAACGACAGCAATACTCTTAGGCAAGCTGCATTCAAGCTTTGCACATTCGTCCGCACTTATAGCGTACCACTCGTTAATTAAGGCAATCTTTAAGGCAGTTTTTATTGTCATACTGTGTTCCTTAATCTTGTGTTTTAAAATAGCTCACAAGTGCTCAATGGGATTAAGATCTGGAGACTGTGCAGGCCGATCTAACAAAGCAATGTTGCTATCTCTAAACCAACGCATCGTAGTCGCTGATTTGTGACAAGGGGCATTGTCTTGCTGAAATTGAACGCCGCAATCTGGATGATCTTCTTTCCCAACCCGTCGCCTCACGAACGTCACATCAGGTGTTCCAAATATCACACACCACAGAACATTCGACCAATCTTCTACCGTGAAATGTTGGTATCGGCAAGCTCATTCCAAACGATTTTTTCTATACCTTTCTGAGAGCCACCGTTTTTATTAGATTGGTAACTTTTCACTAAACGTAATTTACACTTTCACTTTCAAATTTTAAATGCGAAAATGTTTTATGAATTTCTTAAAAACGACAATTTTTAGGTTTAGCTTACCCAGAGTGCCATGACTTTTAATATTACACAATTTATTCGTTTAATCAACAGTTAAACACCGATGTAAGACATTTACAAAATTAAGTGGTAACTTTGAAAGCCACATTTGAGAAAATAATAATAATAATAATAATAATAATAATTTAGTGGGGTGCCTAATACTTTTGGCCAAGACTGTAGATCTCTTCTTCATTCATTTAGCTTTATGGCTGAATTTCATCATCCTTAAAGGCTCCTAAGAAAAGAAATAGTTCAATAATCAAATCGTGTTTGCGAGATGACCAATCGCCATCGCGGTTTTGGCTAATTAATTACGGGGGTTTCGAATAAAACACCAGGGCACGATAACGATCGGTATAGAAGTCATTTTACATGGTTGACGTATCGGTTTCTGCACCTCAGATATGGTGGTTTTGCTTGTTAACGGAGCCGCCGAACGGAGTAGATGAATTTTCGTTAAAAATGTTTATCTTCACCCAAGCGATCGTCAGCTCCATCTACACTCCATCTACCAGTTTCACTTCTTAGACTAATCAGACTTTTTAAAATTCATGTCTTTAATGAAAGTGCCTTCGCAAATAATTGCGCGAAATACTTAATTTCTTCGAACGATTTCGAGTTGATGTTGATGGCTGTTCACGCATACTTTGCGCTGGAGCAGCACTAATTTCCTATGAATGTACTAGACGGGCACGCAAGTGAGTTGTTTTCTCCAATAACGAAGCGGTTTGGCTGACTCCCTACACAAAATCAAAGTTGCGGTTGAATATTCACTATTTTGATGAAACTTGAGTCACCATAACCACTTCCCAAATGACTGACAGATCAATCCGCAGCACACAGATCGTAGAGATTTGAAAATTGTGGTATGGGTTTCTGGGTAGTGAATCTGCGATCAATCTATCCGAAACATTTTTATTTATCGTTTGATTTACATATAAACCTACAGAGGTAGCTGTGAACCTAATTTAATATGGGGAACACTTTTTCCGAGCATTGGCCGATTCGATGGTCGGTTTTGCTTGAAAAGTAGAGATTATACATTAGTGTGGTGGCTCTTTGCCGGGGTATATATGTGGGGAGCTTTTATTTCTGGAAGTAAACCAGAGACCGATCCGTTCGAAAAAATCGCATTCATATATGTTTGGTGGAATTTTCATCCCGAATCTGATCTACCTGAAAGAATCATAATAGTATTTATGGCTCGATTTTTATGAGATGAAAGTTGGTTCATTGCCCCGGCTAATATGTGGACAACTTTTCTTTCTTCTCCATACATTTTAGCATAGTAGTTTATAAATTCTAATTAAATAAATAACGTAAAAACCTTTGAATTCCATGCGGACTAAATCGCATGCAACATCTAGTTCTATACAATTGGCTACCACTGAAGCGATTGAGGAAAATCGATATTTTTCCAACAACTAAATTAAATCTACAGTCTATTCCAAGTCGCCTTCGGCCGCACGATACATTTTTATGAGGAGCTTTTATTTCATGGCAGAAATATAATCTTGACATTCCCTACCAACCGTAACTAAAAAAAAAAATTTATAATTTTGGATGTTGGTCAGAGAAGAACTCGAATCGTGGTCATTCCAATATTACTACGCAATGCTGACCACTCCGCTACTGCGATCGATATGTAACATAGGATCGAATATTTAGAGAATTCATTGACATTCATTCATCGGTAGATCAACGATATGGTAGAAATACTAACATGGATCCTTGAACAAGACTGCCAAATAACTGGTTTTTAGTTCTCACTTGAGTAGGACCCAAAAACGAAATAAACTGAAAGTCATGCAACAAGACCCATTCTCATTTCTGTGAAGGTCGGTAAAGCGGCCTGAAGTTTGATATCAATTTTCGCCTCCACTCTTTTCCTTACTCAATTGTTTTGTCCGTAAACAGAATGATTTTCACATTAGTCCACCTGACATTAGGTGAGTGTAGATGACTTCATTTTTTCAAATAAGTATTTCGTTCTCGCGGGAAATTGTTCTTCGATGAGGTTTCTTATTAATTATATTCTTTTTTAATAATTTCGTACCTTTTTGGTATCATCTATAGCGTCATACAGCATTTCTGGTGAATAAAATACCGCAATCAACCGAATTGAGGATATAAAATGTTTCGAGTTCTTATAAACCAAAGTTTTAACTTTGGAAATTTAATGTGCTTAAAGCTCGAACTCGCGCGTGTGTACTGCAGTTTATATGCCGGCAATTTTTATTTCATACTTATTAATTATTTTTACATGTAAACAAATTATGTGTGAAATGTTCCATTACTTATTTATATTGCTAAAGGAATAACAAAACTTTATAGCTTTCTGGAGAACTTGGAGTACACACCCCTGAGGCATATATATTCCATGTAATAGCTGGAGTCACTGACATTCACTTGCTTGTCCGTTTGCCCTGTCTTTCATTAGCTAAATTGTCGTCCTCTGAATGCGAAAATGAGCTTAAAACGATTATGTGTTACAGCCAGGCGCAGTAGCAGCTGATTTGCGTTTCAGTTGTAGAAAATGGAAATTATTTTTGCTAAAATTTACAAAAGTTCCAAATGCAAGTTCACCTCTACCATGCACTCTAGTGGCAATGAGTCTCTAATTGGCGTGGATTTTTTTTGTTGTGCTGCCGCCCTTTTTGCGGTTTTTGCTTATTTTTCTTCCTACTCCCGGTATGACTGCGCATAAATAAGTAAGTTTTATTACCACTTTTATTTACTTTTACAACAACCGAACGTAAAACAGTTTGCCACTGTGCATATTGACAGCAGTGAGATTAATATATATATTTTTTTTCACCTGAAATCTTATGTGTAAATAAATATTTGCTTATGCAGAAGTCTGTCGAAAACAAAATATTATAATATTTTATTATTTATGCAGTAGTTAACAATGCCATTCGTTTTTTTTTGTCGTAATTTTTTGCAAATACGAAGCATCCGAACTATTATACACACAGGCTGCGCATCAATGTGAAATATTCAAGGTGAGCAATTATTTCCGTTCTTTCTAGTGAAACAAATTTCAAGCTAAAATATCTCAGAATGTTGTCACTCGTGACTGATATTGTAGCCGAGTGGAGTTTCGTCCGTGTGGAGTTTCAAAATGATTTTGATAAATTTTTTACCTTTTTTATGTTATTTTTTTCGAAGAGATTGGTCTCTAGTCCACTTTCCGGTAAGTGTTCGCCACGTCAATTGAGTTCACATCAAGACATGAAAACGACTTTTTCGAAATTTTCGGTTTCTGGTCCACTTCCTGGAGGAAAGGTTTTATCCATCGATTTAAGGGGCACAACTAGTGTAATGGCCTAAAAAACAGTGATTTTTGGGAATTTTTATTAAAAAAAAAATACTTTATTAATTATTTCAAAATTTTAAGAACATATTTATACATGTTTCAAGAATATACAGTGAAATTTTTGAAGAAAAAAATTAAATATTTTTTAAGTTATAGTCGATCTCCAACGGCGCGAAAAAAAGGTCCCTCACTGCTGCAGTGATTTCGGCCTTCACCTTGGATGAAATCTAAAAAAGAAATTTTCCCGTAATAATATTGTCTGTGAAATCAAAAATTACTCAATATAGCGGCGTTTAAAAAAAAATAGACGAATTTTACCCAAAATTTTGGTCGTTTTTGGCTTGCCAAAATTCGATTTTTTGCTCAGCTCCAAAACCGATAGGTCATTGTACGGAGAACTATATATAGAAGATGTAAAAAAATTCGATGGTGATCGAGTGTGGTGTTTTTGAGCAATCACTGCAGCAAATTCGGAAAATGCTGTTTCGATAAAAACGCGTTTAACTATAAAAGGATCGTTTTCACTCGTAGCAAATGGGACTCTCTAGCTGTCGCGCGGCTGCTCTTTAAATTGCTATAACTCAAAAACTATTTGAGATATCGATTTGAAATTTTAACATGTTATTTTTAAAGGTGTAATCTACCGAAATATGAAAAAGATTAATTTTTTTGAAATTTCACACTAAGTGTGCCCCTTAAGACAAAAGCTACGTCTGTACCAAATTTTATGTAAATCGAACCACAAATAAATTTATTTATTTAAATAAATTTAAATTTATTTTATTAATAGATCTGTTCCTGGTCCACTTCCCGTAAGAAAAATTGTTCCTCATGTCGATTACGTTCGTGTCAAATTTAAACCAAATCAATAGATCGGTCCCAGGTCCACTTCCCGTCAGAAGTGTTCCTCGTGAATATTTGGGCCAAAAGTTTCGTCGGTGTCAAATTTCATGTAGATCAAGCAAATCAATAGATCAGGTGCACTTTCTGGATGAAAAAGTGTTCCCCAACTTGATTTAGGCCAAAAGTTACCTCTGTACCAAAATGCATGTAAATCGAGCCATAGGAACAGTTTTTTCGTGTAGATCAATCTCAGGTTGACTTCCCGAAGGAAGGCAAAAGTGTTTCCCAAGATATCCAAAATGTATCTCGGTACCGAATTTCATGAAAATTGAACCATAAATAGACTTTTTTTTCGAAAAACCCGCTTCCAAAAGCTTATCTGTGGCGAATTTTATGTAAATCGAGGGTTTTGAAAATAAATTGGAATTTTTTCGGTCGGTCTTTTCGAAAATTCTCTCTCTTTAGGAATTGCGGTTGCTTCGGAATTTTTTAAATTTTGCATTTCAGCTGCAAGAACTTATATGCTCAGGAAACGTCAATTCGACGCAAGTGAGTTTATTTTGTGAAATCGCACGTTTGCGGGCTTATCGGTGCGAAGGTGAGCTGATAAATTTGTGGCAATAAATTTTGAACAACTTGAAATTATTTGATTGCGCAAACCGTCGCATTTATTACGTTTCGTGACGCGCAATCTTGCTTTCGCTAGTTCAAAATTAACTTCAGACACACTTTATTAGATTTATCTTCCCGTTTATTTAACACGGTCAAAGCACAATCGCTTTTAGTTGCCATAAATTCACCAAAACTATCTCGATCGTTGCAGTAAATTATGAAATAAAAACACTTTTTTCTTTTGACTTAAATGGATTACTATTTACTCGACTTATTCATCGGCTAACCACTGTCGCACTAATTTAGCTAATTCCTCCTTTGAGTTACGCATTTCTGGACTATCCGCGCTACTTATCGAACCGAAGTCAGCACAATGCGATGTTAGTGGTAATATGGTGGCACCATGTTCGGCCTTATGACCGACCGCGCTCCATGGATCGAGACCACCGTGTGTTTGATAAACGTTGGGAGCGTTCGGTGAATACGCACCGAAATCCTCATTTGTCTGCGCGACCTTGGCGTGGATAGTTGAATTTGTGTATGCATCACCGAAAACGTCCTGACACAAGACGATGTCTAGAGTTACGGGAAATTTGTTGCCGAAAGGTTGTTGACTGGAGCCGGACGATTGATACCAACCGTATTCGTTGCATGTCTGATAGTACCAGGGTCGACCTGAAAATAATGAGATCGACAAAATTACTAAGTAAATCATGCTGGAATTTTTTGTTTTTTTTTTGTGTACTTACTGGCTCCAGCGGCATAAGTTGAATCCATGTAATAGGTGAGCGTGTCTTTGTATGAGAGATCAACGCAACCTGAGCCCACATAGTTTAAAAGAAAGTTCGCTATGGCCGTAGCATTGTCATCATGAGAAAGTATATAATCACAAAGTAGTGGAACATCGTCGCCGCTGGAAATACGTTGTATCAATGACAAAATTATAGTTGCATCCACACTCAAAACGATTTAGCAAACTTACGACTGATATTGTACAATGCCAGAGAAGAGATTCGAGATACTTGAAAACAGTGTCCACACATCCAGATCACTATGCTCATCGAAGTTATTGCAAATCTTCATCATTGCCTTTACCTCAGGCGCGCGATGATCCTGTATCATTTCTTGCAATGTTTCAATACCATTCTGTACACTGCTGTAGCATAGCTCGCTACCTAATTCGAGTAGAGCCTGTCCAACGACCTCTTTGTATTCTATAAACGTAATTGTGAGTTAAAAAAAATGTAATGTGTCATTAGCAACTGCTGAAATTACAGTGCATACCTCGGAAATCCACCTTTGCCAAAAGTGGCGCACTCGAAGCCCATCCGCCGGTTAAAAGCTCAGGGTATAAATGTTTGAACCATACGACCATAGTTGCTGCATACGAACCACCGGCCATTATAACCTTTGCATTCGCCAAACCGGGATAATTCTGGCGTTGGTACTCAATGAAATGTGCCAAATCCGCTAGCGCCTGCTTGACATGCAAATACTTTAGGTTTTCCACGGTAATATCGCTGTGGAAGACGTGTATATTTACCAAAGATCAAAGCCGTATATTGCATAATTAAACACCACTAACCGCGTAGGCCGACTTTGACCATAATAACGGTGCTCAGTGTAAAAGAGTATGCCGTTGTGCTCCTCTGCCATATCAACAAGGTGGCCACTTCTTATACTACCCGCTGATATAGTCCACTCACCACCCACATAAATGAAGATCGGTCCGCCTTCTTTAAAGTATTCATCGTTTACCATGTAGCGCTAAAAATATAAGAGATTTTCAGCATTCACTTTCACTCAAAGCCAACAATTTCGTTTTGTGTTCACTAACCATTTGCCAGGTTTCTTCGTTCGTGACATCGAAATGATCCAATTTCTGTTCAATTGTTTTGGTTACAATCTCTCGGGTGGTGGCACGATTGACTGCCTCCTGCACTGGTGGCTCGCGATGTAAATATTTTAAAGTTTGCACAAAGAAGTTTCCTTTATTTTCGGTGACCTCGAGGAACTTCGCACGCAGTTTGTCCACATTCAGTTTCGCTGGGGTTGTGGACACGGCCAACCCGACCACCAACAGGAGAACTAGCTGTAGGGACCTCATATCGCCAAATGACTTGCCATGACTTTGGACGCATGTATAAATATAGTAGTTAAGAGCGATTCTTTTTTTTTTAATATTATGATACGCACTTTGATAAGATTTTATGGCCACATATAGTTTCAATATACGATTATCAGCAGAGGGTTATACCGGTATTGATATGTAATTAGTCGATAATGCCAATCCGCTGCTCATGGGTTGTCGGTGGGTTTAGCGCAACCTTATCATTTAGTGGGTAGTAAAATATTTTTACAGTTACAGTAACTACATATTTTGTTATCGCTCCCCATACAATGATATAATGGGAATGCCTCACGGTAGGTAATATACATTCTCCGCTGTAGCGTTCACCTTTTCTGTGCCTCACTCCAGTCTTGTTCGTGGCTTTTTCGCCGTCAGAAGCCATTTGTTTTTGTAGACCGGTACGATTTTATGCCCATGTCTTTCCGTTTTCGCTGTATTGTTTGGGTTGAACAACTTAGCCCTGAGTCCCTCACAAGTTAGTCTTTCAATTTTAAAACAGATGCGATCCGATTTTTTACGCACAACCGCTTCAATTGAGCGCAATCCCGGCTACTCAAAATCTTCGGAAGTATTTCCGCCCCTCCTTGGTCCCCGTCACACGATATGAGGTGCCTTGCAATCGCCCTATTTGGCATATTGGCTTCCGAACATGTGCTCTTCGTTCAATCTATGATATTTTACCATTTTCTGATACCTATTACTGTTTCTTCCAATTTAGTAATGAAATTCTTCACAAAATATCCAATACCAAATTTTGTAAATTCAAAGAGATCATCACTCACATGTTATCTACCGGGCGCTAAATAAATCGATTGTAATGGAAAATAATCTATTGCGGCGCTAGTAATGTCGTCGAGTGTTTTAAAAATTAATTTTCCCAAATGTGGTCGCCCCTTCAACTCCCTAGCTATCAGGTGTACAACTTTGTTTCCGCCGTTTTTTTTTTTTTCAAAATTAAAATCTTTATTGCGAAAAAGTGCTTACAGATATATTATTCAAAGTATTGTACTTCGCTAGCGACAACTTTCTCCCATCTTTTCGGCAATTTTCGGATCCCGCCTCGAAAAAAGGAGTCCTCTTTTGACGCTATCCATGAAGCAATACATTTTTCCAATTCTTCGAAGGATTGAAAATGTTGATCTGCCAGGCCGTCTGCCATCGAACGGAATAGGTGGAAGTCAGAAGGGGCGACTTCTGGGGAATACGGCGGGTGGGGAAAGACTTCCCATTTCAGCGTTTCCAGGTACTTTTTGAACACTTTTGCGACGTGAGACCGAGCATTGTCGTGTTGGAGGATGACTTTGTCATGTCGCTCTTGATATTGTGGCCGATTTTCTTTTAGCGCGCGACTAAGGCGCATCAGTTGCGTTCGGTAGCGGTCTCCTGTGATGGTTTCACCCGGTTTTAAGAGCTCTTAGTAAATCACACCGAGCTGATCCCACCACCATGTTTGTCTTCGACATCGAAATCACCATTTGTAAAACGTTTAAACCACTCCCGACACGTTCTTTCACTCAGAACAGCATCACCGTAAGTTTCTGATAGCATTCGATGCGCTTCAGCTAAATTTTTTTCGAATCGTAACAGAAAAGTAAAACTCCCGCAAATAGCGAAAATTAAGCACATAAACGACCCCCTGCGGGTTAGGGGCTCAAGAATTTACCCGCGGTAAGGCATGCCTGTCGTAAGAGGTGACTAAAATCCAATAGTTCCCGCGACAGTCGGGTCTTTATACCGGAACGACCCGGATTTTTATCCGGCCAAGGACTGACACTCCCGGAGCATTCCCCAAAAAGTACTTTGGGGTATAATTTTGCGGTTACAACAACAACAATAACAGGCACATAAACGGAAATTTTCGAGCGTGAATACTACGAAAACAAGAACAACTGTCACTGAAACGGCGATGACAATTCGTTAGGCACTGTCCACACTCACTTTAAAGGCATTATCATCTAGGTATTTCAACCAGCCTCAGCCGGTACAGCCACCTATCGGAAAACGGCGGAAGCAAAGTTGTACACCTGATATATTATTATATATTTAAAATTCATAAGTCTTCCGCAAAGTCTTGCTCATAACAAATTCTTTAAGTTCTCCGCTGCAAAGATCTGGAAAAGTAGGCTTATTTAAGTGATTCGCTATAGCGAAGAAAAAAGGCCTCTTTGTCCAGTGTCACATATGACTGCCTGAGTAATTATAACCCTTCTTCCTCACATTCAGTTTTTCTATTGGGCTTCTGCTGCAACTTGGCTTTTAATTGCTGGTTGAGCTCGAATGTGGCGATTGGTGAGAAAAATGCTTCTCATGTCAGCACAAAAATTGAGAGTTACACACGCAAGATCCGTGACTTGCTATCAATAGATCTTAATCAGCTAATATGGATGAAGTAGTTCAGTTACTCATCTTCCCTGCGAAGGTCATCCGGGCGTTGAGATTCTACCGGGTTACTTGCTTATTGTTAGCTCGCATAGATTTGTTTCTTCTTTCTATATTCTCATTCTTTAGCATTCTTGATTTTATGCATTAATTTGAAAAGTGTGTCATTTTATTCATTCATGCATTCACTTACATGACTTAATTTAAACATTTGTACGTTTCTCATAGTTGTATTTCTATTTCAATAATTTACGAGGTGTGACGATAAAGTAGTGAGACTGATTCCATAAATTGGTATATATCGAAATTCCCTTGAAAGTAGTCCCCTTGGCTAGCTATACAACGATTCCACCGCGTTTTCCATGCTTCGTAACATTTCTGGAACGCTTCGACTGGGATGTCCGCGAGTACCCCCGTCACGGCCGCCTGAATGTCCTCTCAAAATGGGTACTTTTGACCACCGATTTTGTTCTAGGGAACAAAAAAGTCAGGAGGCTGACATATCGGGCAAATAAGGCGGTTGTTGCAAAACGGCAATCCCTTTAGAGGCCAAATACTGGGACACGCTGAGATCGGTGTGGCACGGCGCGTTGTCGTGAAGAAAGATCCAGTTACGAGCGATGTCTGGGCGCACGCTGTTGACTCATTTTTGCAATCTTTCGAGTACTAGGCGGTAGTAGACTTGATTTACGGTTTGAAATTCTTTATGGACGATATCACGGGCTTGAAAAAAGGCAATAATCATAATCTCCCCCTCGACTTGCTCATGCGAACTTTTTTCGAGCGGTGCGCGCGGAGTCAACCATTTGTGGGCTTTGGCGTTTGATTCTAGGGTCGCCCAATTTGACGCAAGATTTTATCGCCAAAAAGACGTGTTGCTCTTGATTTCGTTTCTCCATTTGTGTGATGAGCACTGCGTACACACCTTTACTCAACACCACACAGCAGGCGAACCAAACAAGCTAGAGCGATAGCAAATATATCAATGAAGAGAAGAAGGATGCCGGGAGAGGGGAAAGGGAATTTCAAGGTCGCAGGGCTACCACAATCGCGCCAATATAATCAGACTCATTACTTAATTGTCACACCTCGTACTACTGCAACGGTCGGTCTCTACGTCTTCCATCGCTTATTTAAGCTTAACTCATTCCACGCTCATAAATACGCACAGAAACCGATGTGCGATGGTATTTGAATTTTTATTTCTCTTCTTTTCAGCAAACAATTCTGTTCGCATTTGTTTTTTTTTATTTATTACACTTTTTTTGTTTGTTTTCTTGTATTTGCGAAACCGTTGTTTACCATTTGCAATTATGTGAAAAATGCGTTTGCAGAACAAACAACAAACAACAAATAGCAATGGCAAAACAAATATGCAATTTCAAACACATAAATACGCACGCACACACCAACATGCGGTGGACGCGCAGGAGTCGCACGTTGCTACATTCAAATGAAGTGCTCAAACGTGCGTTCGTGGCTTGAGTCTTTCGTTTCGTTGCGCTGCTTGACTGGTGGTTGGTTAGGCTTAATTTAAGCTTTGCAGCAGGCACAATCGCTCAATTCTTTTCGCCTTTTTGTGGCGCGTAGCAACGATTATGCGCCCACTTTACTCGTACTTGCTCTTTTGTGATTATTGCTCTTAACAATGTGTGTATGTACGTGTATGTATAAGCTCCTGTTGTGATGATGATGACGATGGTTGTGGTGGAGAAAACATTTTTTATTACTTACTTCTTTATTTATATTTCTTCTTCTTATTTGCTCCCCAACACGTATAGATGTACAGCGTGCAATGCTTTTTGTTTTTGTATTAAAATTGTTTGCTAATTTACTACTGGTAAGTTCCACAGTGACTGCGCGTTTCATTTTGACACGCTTGTTTCTGCAAAGTGCTTGGTATTTATGCTATATATGTATATACGCTTAAAAAGAGTATTTGTATTGGTATAATTTGTGAGTAACTCAGTTTATGGCATAAATGTTTGCTGCGCTAGATTGGCATTATTAGAATGCGTTAATTTTCGGATTCGAATTTACAGACGCAGATTTTGGCAGGAGCTCTGTAAATGTCGGACCGATGTCAATGCTATTCTGCTCTCGATACAGATTATCAACTCTAATATAGACTAAAAAATATTCCAATTTCTTTTCAAATTTAGATCTAAGTCTATCAAAATACATACATATCGTTAACGTGATTATGTATTGTATGCTTTCTATAAAAGCTACTGAAGTTAACACTCACGTAGTGTATTGAAGTTAAATACCTAAGTTTTATTCTGGAATGTATAACATAGGCGTGGTTCGGAAATCCATTACTGGTAGACGGGCTAGGGTGATTTGTAGCGAATAGGAACAAAAATGGCTTATATTCTTTTGAAACTTCTAGAAGGCATTCCCTCTGTTCCCCTTTTTGCAGTAAAATATTCACCCGATTAACTAATACCCATTGAATTTTTTTGTTGCTTTCACGTTTAAAAAATATTTTTAAAACCTAAAAGCCTAATTGATGGAAAATTTATACTCCTCAAACTACAATCTGGTTCAACAATTATATTGGAAATTATAATTTGAGTATAGCAAAACGCCGCATGAGAATTTCTTATT